CACGCGGGCCAGGTCGTTGACCAGCCCCTTCTTGAGGAACAGGCGGATGATGTTGTTCATGCCGTTGTGCGGGGCCTTGGCCGCGCTGCTGTAGAAGCTCGAGGTGGACGGGCACGACTCCATGATGGTGCTGATGATGCACATGACGGCCTGGAGCCTGCGGGGACACCGGGAGTCACCGGGGGGACACCGGGGGGGTCACTCGGGGGGTGGGGGACACGTGAGGGGACAGTGGAGTGGTCACTCGGGGGGACAGGAGACACACGAGGGGACAGCAGTCACTCAGGGGGACAACCCAGAGGTCACTCAGGGGGACGAGGGGACACGTGAGGGGACAGGGGACACGTGAAGGGACACCAGGGGGGTCACTCTGGGGGACACCTGGGAGGACAGGGGACACATGAGGGGACAGTGGAGTGGTCACTCGGGGGATAGGGGACACACAGAGGGATGGTGGTCACTCCGGGGGACACTGCAGTGGTCACTCGGGGGATGGGTGACACACACAGGGATGGTGGTCACTCCGGGGAACACTGCAGTGGTCACTCGGGGGATGGGTGACACACACAGGGATGGTGGTCACTCCGGGGGACACTGCAGTGGTCACTCTGGGGGAGCAGGGGGACACTCAGGGGGACAAGGGACACCAGTCACATTGTGGGGACACAGGATGACAGACGGTCACCTCCCAGCTGTCTCTGCAGTGGCCCCACATTGTCCCCACATTGTCCCCAGGCTCTCTGCAGTGACCCCACACTGTCCCCTCAGTGTCCCCATTGTCCCCAGCTGTCCCCATGTTGTCCAATACTGTCCCCAGCCCATCTCTGCAGTGACCCCACATTGTCCCCACACCATCCCCACTGTCCTCCCACTACCCCCACAATGTCCCCAGGCTCTCTGCAGTGATCCTCCATTGTCCCCCCACTGTCCCCCCGCCGTCCCCCCATTGTCCCCCCGCTGTCCCCATTGTCCCCACACCTGGCGTGTTTCTCGGTGCTCTCGGCCATGGCCAGGGCTCTGCCGAGCGCGGCCTTGACCTCGTTCACCAGGGCCACCTGGGCATCGGTGCCGCTGCCCGCGGCCGCCAGGCTGGCCAGGAAGAGCCGCGCCAGCGCCGGCGTGTCCTTGTCCTCGGCGTTCTGCTGGTGCGGCAGCAGGTGGTCCAGGACAAAGGCCAGCACGCTGCAGTCCTGGGGGGACACGGGGGTCACACAGCCGGACCCATGGAGGGGACATGGGGGTCACACAGCCGGACCCATGGAGGGGACATGGGGGTCACACAGCCGGAGCCACGGATGGGGACATGGGGGTCACACACCCGGACCCATGGAGGGGACATGGGGGTCACACAGCCGGAGCCAGGGGGACATGGGGGTCACACACCCCGAGCCAGGGGGACATGGGGGTCACACACCCGGACCCATGGAGGGGACATGGGGGTCACACACCCAGACCCATGGAGGGGACACGGGGGTCACACACCCGGAGCCACGGATGGGGACATGGGGGTCACACACCCGGACCCATGGAGGTCACACACCCGGAGCCACGGAGGGGACATGGGGGTCACACAGCCGGAGCCAGGGGGACATGGGGGTCACACACTCGGACCCACAGGACACGGGGGTCACACACCCCGAGCCATGGAGGGGACACGGGGGTCACACACCCAGACCCTGGGTCACACACCCAGACCCATGGAGGGGACACGGGGGTCACACGCCCAGACCCAGGGGTCACACACCCGGACCCACACCAGGGGACATGGGGGTCACACACCCGGACCCAGGGGTCACACACCCGGACCCACACCAGGGGACACAGAGGGGACCTGGGGGAGCTTCAGGGTAAGGGGACCCCAATCGCTGAGGTGACAGCAGACCCCGAAGCACAGGGGGTGACAGAACCCACCCCCCTCCCATGCACACTGTGACAGGGACACGGCTGTCCTGTCCCTGTCCTTGTCCCTGTCCCTATCTCTGTCCCTCTCGGCTGTCCCCCATCCCTGGTGGCCCCGGGCGGCCCCAGGTGGCCCCGGGTGGCCGTGTCCCCGCGCTGTCACCTCCTTGATGAGCTCGGACTGGCCCCCCTGGCACACTGTGACAGAAGCAGGGATGCTCCGTCTTTGTCCCTGTCCCTATCCCTGTCCCTCTCGGCTGTCCCCCGTCCCTGGTCGCCCCGGTGGCCCCGGTGGCCGTGTCCCCGCGGTGTCACCTCCTTGATGAGCTCGGACTGGCCCACGCTGTAGCTGTAGTTGGCGATGAGGGCGGCGATGCCCACGTAGGAGCGCACGAGCTCCGCCAGCAGCCGCAGGATGGTCGAGGTTGGCATCAGGGGCTTGGAGCCGCGAGCCCGGCCCCGCTCCTCGCCACGCTCGCCATCCTTGTCCTTGCGGCCATCGCGGCCCTCCTCGGGGCTGGACGCTGTGGGGACACGGGGACAGGGTCAGGGACATGGGGACACGGTCAGGGACACGGGGACAGGGTCAGGGACATGGGGACAGGGTCAGGGGACA